GCGACTACCTATTTCCCGTAACTGGTTAGTATTCAAGACCCACAGCCTCTTATGCCCAGACTCTCTCAATCGCTCAGGAGAGATAGATAGGCAAGCTTCTGCTCCCTGCACTGGGCGGAAGCTCCTCCCCTCCCAGATTGCTACAGCACAGACATTTTGATGCAATAATTCAGAGCAAAAAGTGTCAGTTATCAGAGACTGTTAAAATATTGCAAGAGTGCTAATGTTTCAAGCATGTTTTTATTTTAAGTAAAAAAAAATCTTTGTGCTTGTGTCCTTTATAAAGTTTATATCTCTACTACCTAGCATTACATTTAATAACACACATGGCCCAGCCCAACAAAGTCCAATTTATGTAAAATCCGGCCCTCCATAACAAATGAGTTCGACACCCCTGCCCTATACGGTTTGGGACCAACATACCTGAAGGATCATCTAATCCCTTATGAACTCGCCCCAGCCATTATGGTCATCTTCAGAGGCCCTGCTTTGGGTGCCCCCACCTTCTAAGGTGAGGCAGGTGGCAACCAGGGACGGGGCCTTCCCGGTCATGGCACCAAAGCTCTGGAACTCCCCTTCTGTTGCCGTCTTCCGCCAGCAGAGGAAGACTTTTTGTTTGGCATTCCCTCAATGATCCCCTCCTTTCAAACCAAGGTTTTTATGTTTTGTATGCATTCTAACTCAGTTTTTTTTAACTTTTTGAAAATTGTTTTAATTGTGTATAAGTTTGGGAGGGAGCTGCGGTGGCTCAAGTGGTTAAGACGCTGAACTGCAGGCTGTGGAAGGTCAGTAGTTCAGCAGTTCAAGACCTGGGTGCCGCATGATGGAGTGAGCTCCCATCTCTATCTCAAGTAGATAAATAGGTACCACTTCGTTGGGAAGGTAACAGCGTTCCGTGCGCCTTGGTGTTTAGTCATGCCCCGGACACATGACCACGGAAACGTCTTCAGACAGCGCTGGCTCTTCGGCTTTGAAACGGAGATGAGCACCGCAACCCTAGAGTCTGATTTGACTGGCTTTCGAGCAAGGGAACCTTTACCTTTACCTTGGGAGGGGGGGCTGATTTTAATGGTTTTATAATGTGATTTTTATCATGGATGTTTTAAATTGTTAGCAGCCTTGGTGGCTCTTGCAAGGGCAGAAAGGCGGGATATAAATTAAGAAGAAAGAAAGAAAGAAAGAAAGAAAGAAAGAAAGAAAGAAAGAAAGAAAGAAAGAAAGAAAGAAAGACCCAATTCTGTTAGTCTCCAAAAGATTTAGAGCTCAGTTTTATTTTTGTTCCCCCCCCCCGCCAAGTTACAGCTGACTTCTCATAGCCTGATGGGGGTTTCCAGACAAGAGACCTTCAGAGGTGGTTTGCCATTGGCTGCAGGAACTCCTTTGCATATTAGGTGACACCCCCCCAATGTAGCCAATCCCCCAAGAGCTTACAGAGCTCTTCTTACAGGGGCTACTGTAAGCTCTTGGAGGATTGGCTACATTAGGGGTGTGTTGCCTAATATGCAAAGGAGTTCCTGCTACAAAAAGAGCCCATACCCAATGCTCCCCCTAAGCTGTGAGCAAAAATGCTGCTTTCTGAGCTACTGGCATTAAAGTTGTGAGCGAGCGATTTGGCTACTGCATAAATTAGTTTGCTCTGGAGCCACCCTTCCTGAGCGAAGACAAAAATGTGTGAGCCAGAGGCTAAAAAACTATGAGGTAGCTCACACTAACTCACCTTAGAGGGAACACTGGTCACACCTCTGGTATTTCTTGGAGGTCTCCCATTCAAATACTGGCCAGGGCCAACCCTGCTTAGCTTCAGAAATCTGACAACATCAGGCTAGCGTCGGCAATCCAGGTCAGGGCTTAAAGCTCGGTACTTTATCAGATAACTTTGTACATGAATATTTGCTTGTTGGTAGACAAGATAGTTATAAACCTCAGTGAAGGTTGTCTTGATTAGTAAATGGCATGCTAATGATGTCCCTTCTGAGGCTCAGTGATTAGCAGAAGTTTTGAATCTACTTGTTATGGGGAAATTGACCCCATCAAATATGGTCAAGTTGGTTCCTGCTACAAGTTGCTTAGAAAAATGGTTCCTCTTCATTTCATATGGAGAGTCCATGAAAAATGGGACATGAAGCCAGCTACATTTAAGGCACAGACATACTAAAAGAAAAACGAAATGGTAGTTCCACTACACATGTATTCAAAATTTTATTGTAATTATTGTAGTCATATAATATTCTGTTGGTAGGAACTTTCCCACCTTATGATAAGAGCAAAAGATCTGTACCTTTGCAAAATGGGTCCTGTTTCATTATTTCAGGATACTCTGCTGTAAATTCATTACAACTTCAAACATAGAAATACGAAATTTAAAAAAAAAAGCAATAGAGGTGAGAAAGTTGAGGTAAAGGCAATCGAGAGGCCTCTCTGGGGATTTGTTTCTGCTTCACAACTCACGTAAAGATGCTGGATTTACACACTGCAAAACCATCCAAACAATTTATTGTGTCATGTTTACTGGCATTAGCCAAAAGTACACCCCCTGTGTAAATATTACATAGCATGCATCAGTTCCATCTTGGTAAGTCTCAGGGGTCATTTCCTGTAGGAGCGGACAGGAGCGGAGCTCCGGCAGTAAAGAGCCCAGGGGGCTGGCACATGCAAGAAGCCCCACCCCCTGCTCCCAGCAGCCCTCAGTCAGAGCAAGAAGCAGCCAGGTAAGTTGCAGAGCCCGGCCCCTGGTCCAAAACAGTCCAGTGGCACCTTTAAGACCCAGTTTTATTCAGGTACAAGCTCTCCCTCCTCTGTGAGGACAGATCTGCACGTTCCCCCCCCCCAATAGCTAGCAATCCAGAACAGTCCAGTGGAGCCTGAGCAGTGGATGTTGCCTTCTGACACACTTCCGGTGATGTCAGGGGGTGTGGCATATGCAAATAAGTTATGCTAATGAGTTATGCTAATGTGCTCCTGCACCTCTTTTCCTACAAAATGACCCCTGGTAAGTCTATACTGCTTTATGCCAAAGAAACGGAGCAAACGAAGGAGACCAAGACCACACTGCTAGTGCAATCCTAAACGGGGTTACATTGTTCCAAGCCCATGAACTTCAATGGACTTGGGAAGCTGAAACTCTTCTGAGGATTGCCTTGTACATCACCCGGATAAAAGAGCCGCAAGACTCTTGCCGGAGACTTAGATTGTGATCAGCTGAGACCACCCCAGAAACAAAAAGCCAATGCCACTGGTGCCCACTGACCACCAAGCCACATTCCCAGGTACTCAATAACAATCCTGTCACTGCCAACGTGGCAATCAAATTCCCCTTCCTGAATTGAACAACTGAAGAATGGCCATCTCCTACAACAAGGGTTGCCTGCTCTCCTGCTGGAGGCAGGGGTCTCCCGCCGCTGCCAAGCCCCGTCACTCCACTGCCAATCAGCTGGCCGGTGAGGGGACTTACTAGGAGAGGGAGAGGAAGGCCCAGGTGATGCTGCTGGTGACGTGGTGATGTCAGTTTCAGCACACACAGGAAGTGATGTCATCACACTGGCAACCTCTGGGTGACACTCTGGTATTTGGGCAAAACCTCTATGGTAGGTCTCCATTATTTCGCAGTTAGAATTAAACAGAAGAAAGTGAACAATTGAGTCATCAGAGTGCCAGTTCTTACCCTCTAGAAGTGGAGTAATGAAACGAGATCGGATATCCCTATAGAGGGGGCAATGAAGTATGGTGTGTGTAGTAGATTCTATATCTTTTAGAGAGCAAGGACAAAGTCTGTCTACATATGGTATCTGGCGGTACCTCCCTAAAAGCACCTCCGATGGCAGAACATTAAAGCGTGCCAGCATGTATGCTCTGCAATGGTGTGGGGCTGTTAAACTTGACAGATACTTCGCAGCAGAGCCCGTGTCAAAAGTCCCCAGCCTACTTGGGGAGCATCTTGCCTTTCGATGTCGAGAAATCTTTGTTTAATAATAGCATAGGCTTGTTTATCTGAAAAGGGGGCTACGCTTTTCAGTCAATGAAGTTGAACCTCCGACTTCAGGACAGCCTCCTCCCTCTTTCCCAAGGATCACATCCAACCACACTCGTTTATGGTGCTGGTGGTGGAAAGTGCCGTCAAGTCGTAGCCGACTCATGGCCACCCCGTGGGGTTTCCAAGGCAAGAGACAAACAGAGGTGGTTTGCTGCAGCCTGCCCTCTGCACAGCGACCCTGGACTTCCCTGCTGGTTGTCAGCTATGCTGCCATGGGGGTGGGGAGGTTAGTTGTATTCTAATTGCCAGCAGTGTTCCCTCTAAGCTGAGTTGGTGTGAGCTAGCTCACAGTTTGTTAGCCTCCAGCTCACACATTTTTGCCTTAGCTCAGGAAGGATGGCTCCAGAGCAAACTAATTGATGCTGTAGCCAAATCGCTCGCTCACAATATTAATGGCAGTAGCTCACAAAGTAGAATTTTTGTTCACAAGACTCCACGGCTTAGAGGGAACATGGATTGCCAGTGCATTCCTTCGGTGCTTCTTTGCTGCTGTAACGCTTATCTATAAGTTCTGCAGGTGGTGATGTTGATGTCTGGGTTTCTCAGGAACCGTGGGAGAGAGTTTGGTTCCCAGCTTCAGCGCTAAACGGCCGGAGCTCTTTCTCCCGCGCGCGGGAGTGTGGCTAATTGGCCAGGGCAGTGGGGGGGGGGTGCATACGAATACCCTATATCCTATTATGCCCCAGGGGCAGCCGCCATTCTTAACAGTGCCTATGTTAATGCATCTTCAATAAAGTATTACCTTTCCTGATAAGCGTGTACCACGTTGTTGGCTGTGGGTTCTGACACTGGTCTCCCATCCGAGTACAAACCAGAGCTGGGCCTGCTTAGCTTCCCAGATCTGACGAGATCATGAACTCCTGGGCCATCCGGGTCAAGGCACAGCTGCATATACGTGCATGTATAAATGTGCACAGGTTCTCTTTGGGATACAAGGTAAGATAGGAAAAAAGAGAAAAGAGAGCAGTACCTGGTAGAAATCCAGGGCGGGCAGCGGGTACCGCTCGCTGGGGACCATCACCACGCAGTTGCCACGGATGATGGCGGGAGCCAACAAGCTGATGAAACTCAGCAGGGGCTGTTCGTCAGGGCAGGTGATTCCCACGACGCCTACAGGCTCTCGGAAGAGAAGAGAGGCACCATACAAAACGGTTTCCTGTTAAGAGAGGGAAGCAAGTGGCAGGCATGAAAGAGGGAAGTCCTCCATTAGTTCAGAATACGGGAGATAAGACAGGCTGTTAACAGTGACCGTCAAGTCAGAAAAGCCAGAGAAGGGGTCACAGTGTGCAGATACATGCCAACGAACCAAAAACCACTGTGGTAAAATTAAGAATGACACATTTAATAATTCTATACGCATCAATTTGTGAAGCTATTAATCTTACAATCTGGTTAGATAATTCAGACATAGGCAAAGTCCAACATAATCATATCCTCGATGAGCACACCAGTTTCTACACTCATTTCACCAGTCTTCCTCATAAGTAAGAAGCAGGGTTATTTTTGGGCAGGAGCGCACAGGAACGGAGTTCCGGCTGGCTCCCAAGTTGACTACGCCCAGCAGGAACTCATTAGCATAATAAGCCACACCCAATAGCAGAAACTCATTAGGACTGGCTACATTAGGGGTGTGGCCTAACATGCAAAGGAGTTCCTGCTACAAAAAAAGCCCTGGGTTTTGACAACAAACAAGGGAGACAGAATAAGAAGCAAAAGGTGGGTGTGGCTGGATGTCAACACTTCTGGTAGCATGGGGCTGCAGCCTAATATGCTAATGAGCTATGCTCTCATGGGTGTGGCTGGATATGCTAATGAGTTTCTGTTGTTGGGTGTGGCCTATTATGCTAATAAGTTCCTGCTGGGCTTTTTCTACAAAAAAAGCCCTGGTAAAAAGCCTTATAAAGTTGGAAGATGTCAACCTCTTGATTCAACTTAGTTTCTTTTTAAAAACATAGCTTCTTATTTGTTTTCTTCTTAGTCAAATTCTCCTGAAAAAAAAGCATTGTTATAAGGAGTGGGAAAAGACATGAAGCTGAATGGGGTGCAACTCAAAGTGCTGCTTTTGACCTATGAGGCTCTAAAAGAAGACCTGGTGATGCACGTCTGACTGCTGCTTTTAGGTTTTAAACAGCCATTCCAGTTGCATCTACTGCCATTTGTATTATATTATTTTTATGTACTGTTAAATAGGGTTGTCAACTCGGGGTTGGGAAATTCCTGAAGACTGGGGGGGGGAAGTCCCCCCTCCAAAGCAGCCATTTTCCCGGGGGGAACTGAGCTCTGTCTAGAGATCAGTTGTAATTCCAGAAGAACTTCAGGCCTCACCTGGAGGTTGGCAACCTTAAGCCACTTCAGGCACCAACAGCTAAAAGGCTTGATTAAAATGCTATAAATAAATGCTCTGGGGGTTGTATAGACTGTGAAAGGATATAGAAACCACTCCCAAACTCAAACCCCACTTTCATGCAGAAATCTTCAAAGTTCCATGCAGTTAACTGAATTTTTGTTGTTGTTCAGTCGCACAGTCGAGTCCGACTCTTCGCGACCCCATGGACCAGATCACGCCAGGCCTTCCGGTCTTCCGCCATCTTCTGAAGTTTGCTCAATTTCATGTTCGTTGCATCTATGACACTGTCTAACCATCTCATCCTTTGCCGTCCCCGTCTTCTTTGACCTTCCATCTTTCCCAGCATATAGTCAAACAGAGGCATGGCAGAACTCATCCAAGTAATGAAGGCCCTGGTCAGACGTGCCGTAAAACGTGTGTGTGGGGGGGAGCACGGCTATTTGCACCGTCGCAGTCTGATGCGCCATTATGAGATCAGACGCGACGGCGGCTTCCCTGCAGCAAAGAGGACGACGGGGGAGGAAGCTGCGCGCCGGCGCGATCACACGACGGGAGGCTCCCATATGTGGCCCGTGGCAAAGCGTTTGCCACTACATACGGTGAGGTGGTTTTTACTGCGCGGCTTCGGCGGCTTGCCACGGGAGTGCTACGCCTCCCAAATGTTCCCGTGTGATTGCGCCTGGATACTCTGCGGGACTCCCGTGCCTTCAGCGGGGCAAATGCTCCATGTGAACAGGGCCTACATTTCCCAAGTATCTGGAAAGGGAGAAGCCACAGGTCAGACCCAATTACGGTAATATTAAACTAGGTCTGGTCTTCTGTACCCCTCCAGGCTGGCAGCCTGCCAAAAACAGAGCCCTACCATATACATCCAAGTACACAACCCTGCCGTTTCTCACCTGCACGGTCCCACCGTATTTGTCGGAATACGCTGCCCAGTGGAACAGCCGCTGTAGGCTGAGGTCCACCTCCCGCAGGGCGTCTTCTCTCCCCACACTGGTCAGGGCCTCAAGTTGTGACGCCACTTCGGCTCGACGAAGCTCCAGATTCTCAGCCAGGTAGTACAAAATCTGCGCCCGGGTATGAGCCGTCTGCTTTGCCCATCTGAGGAGACCCAGAAAAGGGGTCAACAATCCCAACAAGCCCAGACTCCTCGTCCCCAAAACCTCCACTGACCACTTGCTTTTCAAGGAAAGAACTTGCAGGGAGAACATAAATCTGTTGAGGAATCCAGTAACTATCAGACCTAGGGTTGTCTACCTCCAAGAGGAGGGTGGAGAAGACCCCTGAGAATTACACATGGTCTCCAAACTATGAAGATTAGTTCCCCTAGAGAAACAGCTGCATTGGAGGGCGGACTCTATGGCATTATATCCCAACGGCGTCCCTCCCCAGGTTTTGCCCCCAAATCTCCAGGGATTTCCCAACCCAGAGCTGGCAACCCTAACAGCCCAAGGACCTTCACTATATGACTGAAGATAAGCTGTGCGTATGCAAGAAAACGTTTTTAAACAATATGTTCATTTTAAAAAGGCATTTTAAAAAGGCAAGAGCCAGTTTGGTGTAGTGGTTAAGTGTGCGGACTCTAATCTAGGAGAACCGGGTTTGATTCCCCCCTCCTCCACTTGTACCTGCTGGTGTGACCTTGGGTCAGTCACAAGCTCTGACACAGCTGTTCCTGAGAGAGCAGTTTGTGTCAGAGTTCTCTCAGCCCCACCCACCTCACGGGGTGTCTGTTGTGGGGAGGGGAAGGGAGAGGAGTTTGTAAGCCGCTCTGAGACTCCAAGTGAAGTGCGGGGTATAAATCCAATCTCTTCTTCTTCTTCTTCTGTTAAACAGAACTTTCACCTGAATCGCTGAAGAATTACTATTAGAGTTGTGCATGGCTGATATTTTGAGATTTTGTTGGCAGCTCCACCTCTTGTGGCAGCCATGTTGTGGTTGGCGCCACCTCGTGGCAGCCATGCTGTGGTTGGCCCCACCTCTTGTGGCAGCCATGTTGTGGTTGGCTCCACCTCTTGTGGCGGCCATCCAGTATCAGAATTCCAAAGGCCCCCCCGTGCTCAAAAAGATCAGGGACCCCAGGGTTAGCGGATGGCTTTTTTGTGATGACAATCAACTTTTCCCCTCTATTTATTTATATGCTACCAAACTTTTGTCACAGCTTTAATAATATACAGGACAGTGTTAAGAGGTTCGGATTACGTTTTATGGCAACAATAATCAACCACATGCTCATGAAAATACCACATTTTGGAGGCTCAAAAAAAATATCAGTATGGCTCTAAAATATCTGGACTGGCTCCTATAGCCAAAGAAAATTTATCATGGCCTATTAAGCCCTTACATGGAGCTGCGGTGGCTCAAGTGGTTAAGACGCTGAACTGCAGGCTGTGGAAGGTCAGTAGTCACCATTTCCAGACCTGGGTGCCGCATGACGGAGTGAGCTCCCGTCTCTAGTTCCAGCTCCTGCCAACCTAGCCGTTTGAAAGCAAGAAATTGCAAGTAGATAAATAGGGACCACTTCAGTGGGAAGGTAACAGCGTTCCGTGCGCCTTTGGTGTTTAGTCATGCCGGCCACATGACCACAGAAATGTCTTCGGACAGCGCTGGCTCTTCGGCTTTGAAACAGAGATGAGCACCGCAACCTAGAGTCAGATTCGACTGGCTTTCGAGCAAGGGAACCTTTACCTTTACCTTTATTAAGCCCTTGGTCCAAACAGCTCAGTATCGCCTCCTTTGATTGGTTAGGGGCTTTCCAGAGCCTCAGGCGGAAAAGAGCCTTTCCCAAGATCCCTCACCTGAGATCCTGGAATTGGAGGTGCCAGAAATTGCACACCTGAGATCCTTCTGGATGCAAAGATGGTGTTCAGCAATAGTCCCTCAGCTTCTTCTTTGTTTAAAGTCAGGTAAGTTACCACAGTTTGTTTAATGTTAAAGGGTACTAAATATTTCCATCGAAAGAAAAAAAGAAAGAACATAGAACATAAGAGACGCCAATGTTGGATCAGGCCAAAGGCCCATCCAGTCCAACACTCTGTGTCACACAGTGGCCAGAAATACCAGTGCCATCTCTGATAAGAGCTGTCCCTGAAGAAGAGCAGTTTCTGTCAGAGCTCTCTCAGCCCCACCTACCTCACAGGGTGTCTGTTGTGGGGAGGGGAGGGGAGGGGAAGGGAAAGGAGTTTGTAAGCCGCTCTGAGACACCTTTGGGTAGTGAAGGGCGGGGTATAAATCCAATCCCTTCTTCTTCTCTTGAGCAGGAATCTCCAGAAATGAAAGTTCTCTCAAGAACCCATGAAGCTGCCTCATACTCAGCCAGACCCTTAGTTTAGTAAGTATTGCCTGCTCTGACTGGCAGCCGCTCTCCAGGGTCTCAGGCAGAGGGCTTCTGTAGCACCTGATTCCAATCCTGACCCTTTTTACTGAAGATGCTGGGAACTGACCCCGAGACCTTCTGCCTGCAAAGCTGACGCTCCACCATTGAGCCCCATCCCCATCCCACAAAGAGATGAGTCTCCCCGTGTTATTTTCACCTTGGTCCCTTCTAGGCAGCACAATTTCCCTCCCTCAGAGCGAGAGGGACTCTCAGCATCCGGCCCCTCCACCACTCTAGCTTAGTGACCCCCATTCCATTCGCGGTCCCTGTTCCTCATTCTTGGAAGACATGGCCCAACCTTCCATCCAAGTGGTTAGTTTTCCCAGAAAACCCACCAGAAAGTGAAGGAGCCAAAAATGTGTTCATGTTCAGCCTACTCTAGGCCGCAAGACTCCACTCTCCAAGGAGTTCAGAACACCGGCTTTCAACTTGACCGTCTTCCCTTCCCACGGTTCCAGTTCTTTGGGATGCGTCGCCACCAGTGTTCCCTCTAAGCTGAGGTAGTGTGAGCTAGCTCACAGTTTTTTAGCCTCCGGCTCACACATTTTCGTCTCAGATCAGGAAGGAGGGCTCCAGAGCAAACTCATTTATGCAGTAGGCAAATCGCTCGCTCACAACTTTAATGCCAGTAGCTCACAAAGTAGAATTTTCGCTCACAAGACTCCACTGCTTAGAGGGAATCTTGGTTGCCACCCCTGACCTGAGAATAGAAACATCAAGGCCCAGGACAACAGCTGCGGTCCAGGTCTCTTGCTTTATCAGTCATCCCATCAAAACATATTTCTGAAGAGAGAGTTGCCGGGGGTTGGGGAAGTAGGGTTGCAATGTATTTGCTTGGAGTATGTTGACAAAACCAAACAAGGACCCACGGTAAGTAGGAAAACCAACATACAACAAGTACCGTGCACAGATGATTATAACATATCATAAATAATTTTATATTTTTTGAAAAATATGTTTACAATAATTTGTACATATATAATAAATCATCTTAATCAAAAATATAAAAAATCATCTCCAAGAATCTCAAAAGCTATTGTACAACCTTTAATAATAGTCCTCCTCTGTTAAATAAAGTTTCAAGACTTTAAGGAGTCCTCCCTTTTAAAACTTTTATTTAACAGAGGAGGACTATAACAGAAGATGATTTATTATATATGTACAAATTATTGTAAAAATATTTTTCAAAAAATATAAAATTATATATGATATGTTATAATCATCTATGCACGGTACTTGTTGACTGTTGGAGTATGTTGACTGCATGATACCACACTTTTTGTGAATGTGCAATTCTGCTATACTGATACATATCCCTAGTGTGTCCGAGCGGCTTGATTTAGCATTCTCCATTCTCTGCTCCCCGCACACTCTGGGAAAGTCAAATGGGGGCCATGCATGCCTTCCCAGGGGTCGCTTCCCAGAATTACCATTGATCTCCAGACTGCACAGATCAGTCCCTCTGGAGAAAGTGGCTACTTTGGAGGGTGAAGTCCATGGCATTACATCTCACCCAGGTCACTTTTCTCCCCAGAACTTGCCCTCTCCAGGTGCTACTCTCAAATCTCAAGAAATTTCCCAATCTGCAGTTGGCAACCCTATGCCATCCACATGTCTGTGATGTCTACAAATTGGGGTGTGTGTGTGTGTTAGTATTGTTTCATTTACTGTTGTGTCCTAGAAGGCCTTCTTGCAACAAGATTTTTTCCTGGCATTCACTATTTGAAATCGTGTACAGTCCTTTCAAGACAAAGCCCGGTGGGATCCCTCCCTTCATATTTATTTACTCGAGATGCAGGACAGGCTGGGTTTTTTGGTTACAGCCGCTATCTTAGCAGGGGGAATTCGCTGCCATCGGAGAGTTGTCACGATCCTGTTAATGGACAAGGCATAACTTAGGGGTGATGGGGTGGGGTTTTTTTTTTGGCTCAGAACATTATTTTAGAGTGCTGCTGCTAAAGCACTGATTTTTTTAAAAGTGTCTAACCAAAGAAGTGCATTTAACGGGGTGGAGATGGATATTGACTTATCCAGGTCATGGGAGAGCGGCGAACTGTTATCAGTGTCACTTTTCTGTTAGACTTGATGTTCTCTAAATAGTCCGGTGATTTTTGCTTTTAATTGCCTACAGTTGTACCAAAGAACAAGTGGGATTTAACAACATCAAAAGATGTGTATACCTTAAAAGCACTAGAATGGCTTAGTTAGTTGGGAGGGCAGGGCCCATCTGCCCCAACCGGCACAGCCCAGGCTAGCCGGAGCTCATCAGATCTCGGAAGCTGGGCAGGGTCAGCCCTTATTAGCACTTGGAGGGGAGACCCATTTCTGAGGAGTTTTGGGAAGTCAGGCGTAGTTTACTGTTGCTAGCCGACATACGCCAGTGTTTCCTTCTAAGCCAGATTCCCAAAAAAGCTCCTCGACAAACTGAAAGAGCATCCAGCTGTCCTCAACTAGAGCCAGGGCCTTCCAACCTGGTGGAAGAATCTTCCGGGAGAGATCAGGGCCCTGCGGGACTTGTTACAGTTCCACACGGCCTGTGAGAAGAGAAGAGAAGAGAAGAGAAGAGATTGGATTCATACCCCGCCCTTCACTTGGAGTCTCAGAGCGGCTTACAAACTCCTTTCCCTTCCCCTCCCCACAACAGACGCCCTGTGAGGTAAAAGAAGAAGAGGAGGAGATTGGATTTATACCCTGCCCTGCACTACCCAAAGGTGTCTCAGAGCGGCTTACAAACTCCTTTCCCTTCCCCTCCCCACAACAGACACCCTGTGAGGTAGGCGGGGCTGAGAGAGCTCTTGACAGAAACTGCTCTTCTTCAAGGACAGCTCTTGTCAGAAACTATGGCTTGCCCAAGGTCATCCAGCCAGGTGCAAGTGGAGGAGTGGGGAATCAAACCCGGTTCTCCCAGATTAGAGTCCGCGCACTTAACCACTACATAAAACAGTGCTGCTCCACCGGGCTTATGGCTGAGGGCAGCGACAGGCTCCATCTCGACAGGTTCTGGACTGGCCTCCCCTTTTTCTCCCTTTCTCCCCTTCCCCTCCCCTCCTTAACAGACAGTCATACATTACTGCCCCCCGAGGTTTTACGCCATCATTTCGTTGTATAGCTGGTTATAATTATGCATTTTATTCGTTATGTATTTTACTGTATTGACTGTAATTATGTATTAGAATTATAATGTTTCAGATGGTTGAATGTTTTCATAAATGATGTTGCCCGCTCTGAGCCTGGTTGCCGGGGAGAGCAGGTTAAAAATCCAGAATGAAATTAAGCAACGCAAAGCCAGGGGAGCGCCCAAGCCTCTAGTCCTTAAGAGGTCTTGGGGATGACCTACCCACAGACTGCAGAGCTGCAAGGCCTGGTGCTTTCAGGTCCCGAAAGGAGGATTCGCCTTTATTTCCGACAGTCTCTGTCACTCTCCCACTCCCATGCCAAAAACACCTTGCAAACCTTTTGCCCTCCTCACCCACCTGGTCCAAAGCCAGAATCTAGCGATTAAGAGTAGGGTCGCAGGATGGGGGCTGGGGCTCCGTAGCAGAGCACACCTGCTTTCCTTGCAAAAGGTCCTGATCCCAGGAATCTCCAGTAAAAAGATCTCATGGGGCAGGCACTGGGGAAAGAGCCTGGTTTGCCAGAGGCCCTGGCGAGCAGCTGCCAGTCAGAGCCGACAATACTGAGCGAGATGCACCCATGGCCTGACTTGGTATGAAGCAGTTTCCGAACCTGCGTGCATTCACACTCAGACACATATGGGCTCACACTCCTTTAACAGACTCCCTAAATGAGTTCGGGAGCAGAGTTAGGGTCAGCGAGTCACAAGAGATGCCAAAACTGGACAGAGAATGGAGGAACTCTGATGCTAGAGGGGAGGGCCACCACCAGCAGTCCCTGGGCCCTACCTTGATTCCCAATCCCTGGTTTATGTTGCTGGCCTCGTGAGGCCATAGAGCTCTGCACCGTGCAGAACAAGGCTGCCCGCCCAGAAGCTCTTGCCTTTAAATTGTTTGGCCCATTAAAGCAGCCAAAATCTCAAATATCAGGCTCAGAACCCAGGCACGGGAACTTATAGACAATATGCCCACTTATTTAGCGTCTGTATAGTCATACTGAGCTTACTTTGGAAGGTTATTTAAATAACGCCCTCCTGGGTCAAACCAAAGCATCCATCTAGTCCAGCATTCTCTTCCAACCAGATGACTGAAGAAGGCCTACAAGTAGAGTATGGAGGCCAAAGCCTCCCCCTCCCATTGTTGCCCCCAGTGAATGGTAGTATTCAGAAGTATGCTGCTTCTGAACATGGAGGTTCCATTTTGCCATTGTGGTTAATAGCCTTTGGCAGAGATTTCTTCTAGGAATGTGTCTAATTGTATTTTAAAGTAATCCCTGCCGTCCTGAGTAATAAAGTTCCATAAAACACACAAACCACATTGTTAAGACTGGACACCAGAGTCCATCCTAGACAGAACAGTGGCCAGCCGGAGATGTGCCTCCAGAGATTCCAAGCACCGCCATATTGTCACCAGTGTCTAACAAAAGACATACTGCTTTTGAACACAGATGCTTTGCATTATGTCAGATAAACTTCATCTCAAAAAGTGGAACTTGGTTTCTAGATTACAGAAGAATGGCATTAGCTGTCCTAAAATGTGTGGCTCAAGAGTTAATATTTGTTCCAGATTTTTAGTTGGATTTACTTTCCACAACCTAATCCAATTACATTCCTTATTGATGTCCCACCCTATTGATGGCACTGACTTGTACTGTGTAATCTGCCACAAAACTCAGTGAGGCAGGCAAGACAATAAATAAATCAAAGCGCAAGGGGGGGTGTTATCTGGGGTTTTATATTGCGATGTTTTTAATTATGACTTGTAGGCCTCTTCAGCCATTAGAAAAGGTGGGATATCTATATATAGTAATGAATTAAATAAATTAAATGCAAGTCTTGGGTGAAGAAGTGCTTTCTTTTGTCTGCCCACCAAATCGGTATCTTGCTTCCTGAAAGGAGCTGCCAACAGTATTAAAAGCACAGTACAATACAAAACCATCCATCACAACCACCTCAGGCGTCAAATAACCAACAGTAGCACTGCCTACGTACATTGCCCCGAACCACTGGAGCCAAAAATCACAGAAATATACAAAGCCTTCACTGAGTCCAATCTTTAAAAAACAAAACAACAGCCAAAAAGCACTTTGGAACAGAACCATCTAATATATGTTCCAAGACCTAGACGGTGAAGGGACTTTTTACTGACTCCTTTGGAAGGGTGTTCCAAAGAACAGCCCAGCTACAGAAGACGACTGTGACTTTGGCACAGAGGAGCAAGTCTGGAAGAAGAAGAGATTGGATTTATACCCTGCATTTCACTACCCAAAGGTGTCTCAGAGCGGCTTACAAACTCCTTTCCCTTCCCCTCCCCACAACAGACACCCTGTGAGGTAGGTGGGGCTGAGAGAGCTCTGACAGAAACTGCTTTTTTTCAAGAACAGCTCTTGTCAGAACTATGGCTTGCCCAAGGTCATCCAGCCAGGTGCAAGTGGAGGAGTGGGGAATCAAACCCGGTTCTCCCAGATTAGAGTCCGCGCACTTAACCACTACACCAAATTGTCTCTCAGAATCTTTTGAAAGGACCTCAGGTGGGATTGATACAGGGAGAGGCGACCCTTCAGTCACTGACTGCCCCCTGAATTGGAGCATTTGTGGAGAGAAAGAGAGAGAGAGAGAGCTAAGATCCAGTTATTCCATTATGCTGATAGTGGCGCTTTCCTTCAGAGCAAGACGTTCCTAACACCAGGGGGAGGCCCCATCGGTAACAGAACAGGCCCCCGGACCCAGCCAAAGGTTTTGTGTGTGCACGTGTGAGGTGAAAACACCCAGGGGCTTTCTCTCCCCTCTCATCTGGGCAACAGGCCCCTCTTGTCCCCCTGGAGGTTCCAGCTCTGAGTTGGGAAATACCTGGAGATTTTGGGGGTGGAGCCTGAAGAGGGCAGGATTGGGGAGGGGAAGGACTTCAATGGGATATAATGCCATAGAGTCCACCTTCCAAAGCGGCCATTTTCCCCAGGTGAACTGATCTCAGTTATAATAGCAGATCTCCAGCCACCCCCTGGAGGTTGGCAACCTTATGCCCCCATTCCCCAATCGGACTCACCCAGGGGCAGCCTTGTGGGCCGCTTCCACAGCATTACGGATGTCTTTGATGCTCCCGTCTGCCACGTAAGCCAGGATTTTGCCAGTGTGGTCGAGAACTGCTCGGGAACTCATGGAGTCCGGCCTCTTCTGGGCTCCCCCATAGTACAGCTTGTAAGTTCGGTCCACGCTGCCAGCATACAGACACACAGGAACAAGGATTAGGGGACACCTCCTCTGCCTCCCAGCAATCGCGTTCAAGCTAGTTCCACCAAAGGATGTTGAATCCACAGGATTCCCCGCAAACAGCTCCAGGGATTGTAGTATTCTTTCCTTTCAGGCGACTGGAGGAAAGAGGCCGCCAGAACAGCAGTCTGCTGCCCTACCACACAGCCTCAAAGTCCAAAGTCTGTATTTTGTTCTTTAAAAAACCATTATATAAGAAAAATATAACGATACGGCATGCACCTAAGCAGACCCCCTCACAAAAGAGTCCGATGCAATCCGGGTATTTTTGGCATGGGGGGGGGGGTCACTCTTGGTCTGAGTTCTCTGCTGTGGCCTGTCAGTCTTGGGTGGCCCTTCACGGCATAGCCCACAGCTTCATTGAACTGCTCAAGCCCCCTCGCCACGACAAGGCAGTGATCCTTGTCGTGCACACCCCTAAATATAAGAAAAATATAACGATACGGCATGCACCTAAGCAGACCCCCCTCACAGAAGAGTCCGATGCAATCCGGGTATTTTTGGCATGGGGGGGTCAAGCAGGGGAGCAGGACCGGTGTTTTAACATCCTGGGAAAGTTTTTGGGTTGGCTGCCATCCCCGAGGGCCAGGAATGGCCAGGAGCCAGCCAAGCCCAATGGCCACAGCAGGGCTCGTCTGTCACCTGCAGCAGTTTGGGAAGAAGGCGACGGGGCACGCCGACATCTGTTTCCATCACCCCTGGCCATGTCCCAGGTGAGGAGCCCCTGTGCGGATGTCCCTGCTGCAGAGGCCGCACCGCTCCATTAGCTGCTGGGATGTCTCTAACGTCCCAACCTGCCCCTGGCCGGGCCCGGCAGTAAGAATAATCACACAGGCTCTCTCACCTGGGGAAATTCCTGTCTGGATCCGAAGTTACGGAATGTGGGACTCTCTTCTCCCCAGGATTCAAAGGGGCCTCAGTCCCCTGTGAGGTAGCAAAAGTTTTGCAGTTGAGGTCTGCAGCGCTGGAGCATGGACGGATCTCCCACTTTGGTCTCACATACTCATAAAGACTCTGAGGGCAGGAAGAAAGGAGTCGCCTTCAAATTAACAGATCTGTTTAACTTTATGTCCTTCTGTCCTTGATTCGTATTCAAAATTGACAGATCTATTTCACTTTATGTCCCGGGGCAATCATAACACCGCCCCTCTGTCCCTGCACTGACCTACAATGCCATCTTATCGTGACTCAGATGGTCCCTCTAAGAATAATAATAATAATAATAATAAGAGACTGGATTTATACCCCGCCCTTCACTCGAAGTCTCAGAGTGGTTTACAAACTCCTTTCCCTTCCCCTCCCCACAACAGACACTCTGTGACGTAGGTGGGGCCGAGAGAGCTCCTTTGAGAATTGCTGTTTTCAGAATAGCTCTGAGAGAACTGTGACTGACCCAAGGTCATCCAGCAGCTGCAAGTGGAGAAGTGGGGAATCAAACCTGGTTCTCCAAGATTAGAGGCCACACACTTAACCAATGCAGCAAACTCGCTCATTATGGTCTCCTCTTGACTGGCATCCGCTTGGCCTTTCCCCACAACCAGAGACCCTCTAACTCAGTGGTACTCACTTTGTATCTCACACAGAGCCACTCAGGCAATTATCATCAACCAAAAGAGCCACATTTATTTTAATCCCAGACACCAGGCCTGCACCTATGGGAGGCTCGCGGCTTACTCATTCCTCTGGCATCAACTGCTTCAAGGTGGAAGCCACCTGCCAATCACAAGGCCCGCTTTTCTGAAACATGGGGCAGGTACCACATTGGGGGGAAAGTGCTCAGAAGAGCCACAGGTGGCTCCCAAGTCACTGAGCAAGTATCACTGCTCTGGAGATGCTAGGGACCATATTGCATGCCTACTTGTGCATGCAAACCGCACCCTGCCCCACACTCTCCCCAATTAAGTCTCAGCCCGACCAACCTCTTTGCCTCCATCTCGACCGTAGCCACTTTCTTTGCAGCCTCCAAACGCAGATGCAGCATCTAGCATGTTGTGGCCGTTGATCCAAACTGTCCCAACCTGCAAACTGAGAAGGTGGCATTGGGGGGGGGGGGAGATTCAGGGGCAGATCGATCAGCAACAGCATTGCCCAAGTAGTTAGGAGGAAAAGTGAAACTGGATTCACAAACAGGAAATGGGGGACGGGACACCAGGGGGGTAGGCTTTCCAGGTCTCTTTGAGATGCTGGTGGAGGGATTCTCTGGGAGCTGCAAGCGTCACCCCCAACATGCCGACGTCACCAGGAGAGGTGTCCTGCATCACCCAGAAGTGACATATTTTATTTATTTATTTTTTCCAATTTATACCCCACCCTTCCCGCCAAGGCAGGCTCAGGGCGGCTTACGTAAAAGTAAATACATGAATAACAATTAAATAACTTGTGCCAATCCCACCCTCTGGGAGGAATGTAGGAGAATCTCTTGATTCCTGTATTAGAGAAAGGAGAGAGCTAGAAGCTAGTCCTGCTGCGGTCCAAGGACTTGGGAAGACTGTCCTGCATCACCCAGAAGTGACATAGGCATGTTGAGGGTGACACTCTGGTTTTTGAGTGAGACTCTATGGTAAAACTGCCTTCAAATCGTGGCCAGGGAGCCCAGCAAAGATGGCCAGAGAGCCCAGACATAGGCACGTTGAGGGTGACACTCTGGTTTTTGAGCGAGACTCTATGGTAAAACTGCCTTCAAATCATAGCGTTTTGCCCCAAAACCAGAGCATCACCTCCCCAACATTACCGATGTTACCCTCGTCACTTCCGGGTGACATCGGCACATCGCCTGATGTTGCTTGGAGGATCCCCCACCCCAAATTGGGGAATGGTAACCTTAATAGAAATATATACCTTAACAGAGAGGCATATGAAGTTACCTTACATCGAGAGAGCCCCCTGGCCCACGGTCTGCTCTGACTGGCAGCTGCTCTTCATAATCTCCAACAGAGGAAGGTACGTGCGTGTCTTCACACACAACCCGCAATCAACATTTGCTACCACAGATTATTTTGGGCTCAGAGCCATGCTGCATGCAAAGCACACAGCCTATCGCCAAATCGCGCTCTCTACATATACTAGCAATAGATTGGGAAGGTTACCTGCGGGCAACTTCCAGAGCTAGCGGAAGAGTCTCCGTCCACACACTGGCAGCCAAACCATAGGGGGTGCTGTTTCCCAATGCCACTGCTTCCTTGGCTGTCCGGAAAGTCAGCGATATCAGAACAGGTCCAAACATCTGCAATTTAAGTCATTAAACAGAAATCTGAACAATCAAGGGGAGAAAGAGGAAGGATTCTGGAATCAACCGTGTACCTCCCAGGATAACCTGAAAGCGAGATGCATCTTGAAATTTGTTTGACATCCAGCACCAGCTAATCTCTGTAGGACTTCCTAGACTCCATTTCAAGACAGCCAGAGACTTTACATGTTTCCATCATAACCAAAAATACAGTAAATACGACCCACCCCCCAATAACCTCTGCCGTTCTTTTTTTCATTAAATACACAGACTGATGAAGCATTCCAGGGAACTTCAAAATCTTCCTTCCTACTTTTAAGTTGGTTTCAACAGAAAGATATCGGGGACAGGATATGTGAGGTCAAAGGATGGAAAACCAGAGGAAGAGGTGAGGGGTCAAGGGGCACAGCCCTGTTCATGGCACTGATCACACTGGCTTTGCTGCATTGCTCTCTACGTATTAACCCAGGTCTCCTCCATGTATTATCCAGTTCTATAGCATTTTGAACTATGGTGCTGGAGAAGACTCTTGAGAGTCCCTTGGACTGCAAGAAGTTCAAATCAGTCAATCCTAAAAGAAATCAACCCTGACTGTTCCCTGGAAGGCCAGATAATGAAACTGAAGCTCAAATACTTTGGCCACCAAATGAGAAGGGAGCACTCACGGGAGAAGACCCTGATGCTGGGAAAGATTGAAGGTCAAAGAAGACGGGGACGGCAAAGGATGAGATGGTTAGACAGTGTCATAGATGCAACGAACATGAAATTGAGCCAACTTCAGAGGACGGTGGAAGACCGGAAGGCCTGGCATGATCTGGTCCATGGGGTCGCGAAGAGTCGGACTCGAGTGTGCGACTGAACAACAATAGCATTTTGGGCTGCATGTATGATACTATTCCTACTGCACTGGTATTAATTGTGTAATCCACCTTGAATCTCTGAAAAGCAGACTATAAATGAAATAAACCAATAAATAATACAAGACTGTTATCACTTGGCGCCAACATAGCATTTTTTATTTCTGCCACAAGAAGTCTCTATTTCCCCCAAATGGGTCAGACTTCTATATATTTCGAGACATGCTCCACAAGATCGCAGCGTTGGAGCCCTGACCTGGATAGCCCATACAAGCCCGATCTCGTCAGATCTCAGAAGTTAAGTGGGGCTGACCCTGGCAAACACTTGGATGGGAGGCCTCCAAGGAATACCAGGGCCAGGACGCAGAGGCAGGCAATAGCAAGCCACCTCTCTGAAACATCCAAACCCCACTAGGGGTCGCCAGAAGTCAACCATGACTTCCAGACACACACAAAAAACACTCATCCCCTCCAAAAAAACAACAACACGATTGCAGCAGTGTCCCAAGGGTCGAATTAAAGGCAGCATGGAAGATCTACAGTTAGACTTCTTGTCCTGATGCTTTGAGTTTCACTCGGAGGATTCCAAGCTAAGCTGGAGCAGCAATGCTGGGAGGTCAAGAGCAAGAGTGGCCTGCTACCTCGTGGGATACTGAATGGTGGGCCACCCCCTGGAAGGCCAGCTGTTGGCTAGGATCAAAACAAGCTGAGACCCTGCAGCGCCACTGGGATTGCTCGGCTCAGATGCAGCCACAGCAGCAGAAAGGGCAGGCTCTCTGTCATCTTCCTCTCCCGAGATGCAACAGGTCAGGAGTGAGCCAAACAGCTTCTCGGCTATCTGAATGGCTCAATCCGACCCTGGCTGGGGCTGAAACCTGCCAGGAAGTCGTGCCATTCGTTTGTGGGATTTAAGGCTGTGTTCAGGCAGCTTGTTGAAAACCACGGTTTATGCAATAAACACTGGTTGGTTTGTCAAATGTCAGAAACAAACCATGGTTAGGCTGCCTCCTCTCCTGCCCTCCCCCTCCCTACAGTGTCAACTCTGAGGCCACTGTAGCTGCAGGGAGGCAGGGTCATCAGACACTGACACTAGGGACAGTTAGCACAAACTGAGCTCAGCCAACCAGCGACAAAACTTCAGTTTGCAACCGACCAACAAGACTCAGTTTCTCAGAGCATCTGCTTTCAGATGTCACAAGGGTTTGATCAACCCATGGTTTATAAACCAGTTTATTGTGACGTGCAAATGAGCAGGCAGGGATGACACAATGGTGATGAGAAGGCACTCTGCATGTGCTCAGAGATCCTTCACTACTACTGCATCCAAAACTCATACTCTGTCTGAAAAGGAAAAAAATATCCAGGGATTTGTTGTTGTTGTTGTTGTTCAGTCGCACAGTCGAGTCCGACTCTCCGCGACCCCGTGGACCAGATCACGCCAGGCCTTCCTGTCTTCCGCCGTCCTCTGAAGTTTGCTCAGTTTCATGTTCATTGCATCGATGACACTGTCTAACCATCTCATTCTTTGCCGTCCCCGTCTTCTTTGACCTTCAATCTTTCCCAGGGATGGCCCCCAGTAAAAAAACAACCCTGTGTGAACTCCTACCTCTTCCCTGACGCAACGGGAGGTAGTGTACACACCAGTGATTAAGGTTGGAGGGTAGAAGGGGCCACTTGATGGGAGGGCTGCCCAGGCTTGGAAGATCTAAAAGGGGAAAAAAATCATATGACCAGCAGCACTCAAAAGCCTTCCTTTTAATTCACGGCAGAAGCATTAGTTCCCAGCACCCTCTTCTCCATGCCCTTCAGAGTCCACCTGCTTCCAGAAAACTCAGATGCCCCAGTTCCCAACCTCTGGAGAGCACGTCTGCATCAAAGACTTAAATCAGACACTCTCAGGCTTTTTGGGCTGAGACCCATTTCTAAGCAATAATCCTAAACGGGTCTACTCAGAATCCTCTTTCAGGTCTCTTCAACAGGAATTCTCACCATAAACAATTTATTAGGATATAATTTAAAAAAAGTTCAAACATATATCAAAACTTATACAATTATATATCCTTCCCTCCCCCCCCCCCTTCTCGGCTTCCCACAGTGCTCCAACCTCCAGCCCAGTTCTTAAGTTTTTTTCCCATACCTCCTTTTCTCCTTATTCACATCCACAGGTAACTTATCCTTCAACTGTTATTCTTATACATTTATCTATTTTCTACTATCCTTTAATTTTCAATAATTCTCAAAGCAAAGCAAATTGTCCTTTACATCCCAGTATTTCTCCATATATTCTTTAAAGTCTTTCCAGTCTGCAAAAAATTCGTCTGCTTCCAAATTATTACGTTTCCTTGTCATTTTATCCATTTCAACCATAAAAAGTAATTTTTTAATCCATTCCCCAATTTTAGGGACTTTATCTTGTTTCCAACATTGAGCATATGTCATTCTGGCAGTCGTGATCATATACCACATCAATGTCCTTTTTGCCATCTTCAACAGGAATTCTCAAGAAAGCGTTCTTAGGATTGCGCTTTTACTATTCTTTTTGGAACCCAACAGCACAGTAAGTCCTTCCTACCCTTTCCCTGCCCCAACAGGAATCTCACGTAAGTTAATACTAAAACAAGGTGGGTTTTCCCCCCCATATTTAGAATGTATAAATATAAAATTTCACAGAGCAACTCTGGCGGGAAATTCCTGGAGACTAGGGGGTGGAGCCAGGAGAGGGCGGGGTTTGGAGGGGGAAGGGGCCTCAGTTGGGCACGATGCCACAGAGCCCACCCTCCAAGGCAGCCATTTTCTCCAGGGGAACTGTAGTTTGAAGAGGAGCTATAATTCTAGAAAATCTACAACCCCGCCTGGAGTTTGGCAACCCTATTAACACAAACCAAGCCTGCCACTGACTCTCCTCTCCCTGCTCACCCTGTCCCCGCCCCATCCGCAAGAGTGTCATGATGACCCAACTTTTTTCAAGGGACAATTCAGGAACCACTGACTCTCTCCAGTCTAACAGTGACTTCTTATTCCCATGGAACCCTGGGAACTGTAGTTCTGTAAAGGGTTCAGTGAGCCAAGTTCTCTCTAACGGAACTTTCAAGTACTTTGCCAACCTACAACTAGATTCTCTGAAGGAAGCCGCTACCGTTCAAGAGGCCCCCAAACCAATATCGCTCTTAACTTCTTTAGAAGTTAATATCTGGCTGAAAGCATGACAAAAATTCAGCAAAAACAAATCAACTCAGGTTGCTGGTGTCGTTGACTTAAGTTATTCTACCTCAGCCCCCTGCAAAGGACCCAAAAGGCCTCACACATCGCACCCTCCCGCTCACCTCAGCACCTTCTGCCCGAGCTTCCACCACCAGGCTCTCAATGGCGTCTCGCTGCTTCTCGTCAGCCAAGGCACCCAGGTCCATGGCCTTGTCTAGAGAGTCTCCCACACGCAGCTGGCCCATCCGGCGCTTCAGGCGCTGAATGAAATCTTTGGCAATGGATTCCTGCAGGAGCAGCTGAGACCCGGCATTGTGGGCCTGTGTGTGGAAGAAACACAAAATGGATCAGCCAGTTTCTGGGCTCTAAGGGACACTCAGTTCTCCAGTGACCAGTGGTGTGTATATATACATATATATTTAAACACAAACACATGCCAATGATTTCCCAAAGCTGCCGACCTAGCAGTTCGAAAGCAAGAACTTGCAAGTAGATAAATAGGTACCACTTCAGTGGGAAGGTAACAGCATTCCGTGCGCCTTGGTGTTTAGTCATGCCGGCCACATGACCACGGAAATGTCTTCGGACAGCGCTGGCTCTTCAGCTTTGAAACGGAGATGAGCACCGCAACCCTGGAGTTGGATTCGACTGGCTTTCGAGCAAGGGAACCTTTACCTTACAAAGCTGCCATTCTTAAAGTAATCAGTATCTTAAAAAAATGTTACTTCTGACTTAGAACACTTATTAGCTGCCTTTCTACCTTATGAAACTCAAGGCAGGTTACAATGCAAACAAATAACCGTAACGATAACTGTAAACAATAACTGTAAAAACACATTTAAAAACCCCCCACAATTTAAAACCACAATTTAAAGCAACCAATAAATAGAAAAAAAACCTAAATTAATCAAATGCTGTACTCAATAAAACTGCAAAATACTTCCTGCCCTTTATTTCCCCCTTTTATCTTCACAACAAATCTGTGAGGTAAGCTGTATTGAGAAATAGTATTTGGCCCAAATTCTCAGGTAAGCTTTGGAACTGGGGGGGGGGGGGGGGGGGGGTTGAACCTCCTCTAAGTCCCATACTGCAGTTCTGATACCACACTGACTCTCGCACGCCTGCAGGTTTAACTAGGGCATCAGTGTTACATCTTTCCATACATTTGCATATGCAGTATTTCGAAGGTTCTCTCAAAAACTTTTCTTCTTCAGAAGAGGTAAGTTTTGATAGCTACATCAGGAACAGAATTTGGTGGTGGTGGGGGGGTAAAATTGCTAAAATGGCCAGACTGAATTAATGAGCTGCCGGTGGGATAGGGTTGCCAACTCCAGACAGGGAAATTCTTGGAGATTTTTTTTGGGGGGGATCCTGGGGAGGGTGGCCATAATGCCATAGAGTCTACCCTACAAAGCAGTCATTTTCCCCAGGGGAACAGATCTCTGTAATTCTGGGAGATCTTCAGGCTCCACCTGGAGGTTGGCAACCCTATGGTGGGATAAGCCCGCCATGCATTCTAAGAAGAACAGATGTCATTTCCTTCATCCCCTCTCACGTCTATCAACCCTCCCTGACAAAACATACCTGGCCTTGGTTCAGCCAAAAGGCATCCACCAGCCCATCAACAGCACTATCCAAGTCAGCAGAGTCGAAGACAATGAAGGGTGATTTCCCTCCAAGTTGCAGAGAAAGCTTCTTGCCGGTCCCTGCTGTTGCACAGCGCAGGCTGCGGCCCGCCTAGAGTGGCAAAACAGATGTTGCATTCACTAGGAAAGTGCTTTCAGGCCTACTTCAGTGGCACATCTACAAAACCCCCCCCAATTGAACACAACATAAGAATTGTGAAAGATCAATAAGCATTTCTATAGCATTTTCTGTGATTAAATAGTTCATATGTACTATTGCCATAATATTGTGTCACAGCCAGCAGGAACGACTCCACATTGTGATGAGGCAGGGCAGCAAGTGAGGCTGAGAGGCGCTTGCTGAAAGCCACTTCATAAGCTTGTAGCAGAGGCAAGATTTGAACTGGAGACCACAGACCATTTTCTTCGTCATTTCTGGCCCACGAACTTCAGTCTTTTCAGATGTCGAGAAAAGGTAGTGAATGCCACCACAAAATATCTGCCGCAGTGTGTGGAGGGGGGTGGGGTGGGCACTTGCAAAAGCATCTTCCTAGGATGGGGGTGATGATTTCCAATGAGGTGGAAGAATGCCAGGATCAGCCCTTTGCTTTGGGATAAAAGGAAGTGGGCACCAGGGTGGCCACAGAAAGCACTGTGTTATGCTATACTATCTACATTGAAATAAGAAGAGGGGTTGTGGTTCAGTGGCAGAGCCTCTGCTTGGTATGCAGAAGGTCCTAGGTTCAATCCCCGGCATCTCCAGTTAAAAGGACCAGTGGAAGGTGATGTGAAAGACCTCAGGCTGAGATCTTGGACAGCCGCTGGCAGTCTTAGACAATAATGACTTCAAGGGACCACCGGCCTGATTCAGTATAAACCCAATTTTATATACTGAATAAAGTCCAACTTTTGTTTTAAAATATACAAATGTATTTTTTCCTTATTAACAGTTATTCTTACTTTGTAACAGTTTTTCTTTTTGTTAAAAATTGAATTTTTGAATTATTGTATGTATTTATTTTATTAGATTTTTACCCCACCTTCCCAGCAAGGCCGGCTCAGGGATACAGAAAGGAATAGGCAAAAAACACAGAGGTCGTAACAGTTTTTCCAACTGCATCAAGAGAAAAGATGCTGTTATTTATTGATGCAGTATATAATTGGCTAGGAGAAATATTGGGTGAATCTACATATATAATATTATGCTAAAACCTGTTGTCGAAGGCTTTCACGGCCAGAGTTCGTTAGCTGTTGTAGATTTTCTGGGCTGTATGACCACGGCCATACAGCCCGGAAAATCTACAACAATTTATGCTAAAATAGTATTATAGTACAGTTCAGGTATTAATTTCCCCCCCACATTAGTTCCAGTTGAATTGAGATGTGAATTAAGATGAATTAAGATATTGATGCGCTCTGAAGAAGATATTCCTCAACGAGAGAGAAACCTAGGAATCCCGTCAGTAGTCTTTAATGGCACATTGAAAACTCTTTATGACAACGAAAGAAATGGAACTCTGGAGTAATTACATTTATGCATTTCGTGAATTGTGATTTACTGGAAATGGAGCATTGTTTCCCTGTTAAATGGTTCAGTTTACTCCTTCTCACTGTGGAATGTTATTAAGAATGGGAAGCAGTACTGCATGCTAGAAACAAAGTGTTTAGATTTTTCGCTTCCCACTTTGTGCATGATTGAAATACGCACATTGTTTTGAAAGCTATTTCATGAATGAGTGTGAAAAACTTACAAAGTAAGAATAACTGTTAACAAGGAAGAAAGACATTTGAATATTTTTAAACAAAAGTTGGACTTTATTCAATATATAAAATTAGGTTGAATGGTTTATGCGCACAGTATTCACTTCGTGGGTTTAACATTCTATACTGTGGTCCCTTTATTATCTCTGATTCCAAATAAGGCAGCTTCATGTGTTCAAGAGCATGAGAAAACACACACACACACACACATACACACACACACACACAGACAGAGCTACCCATTCCAGTCCAAGAAAAGTGTGGCACCAGGGAGAAATGAGGAACACCACAAAACAGGGGTCTGCCTAGACAGAACTACAGCTTGCAGTTGAGATGCAACTGCCTGAGGCTCACCTCATGACCCTGATAACCAATAGAAGTTCTATTGGTTTTAACCTGAGTGACCTTATCATCCGGTCAGAGCTTGAGATCTTTACTCTGCTTAAACAGAGGCTTATTGATATAGAGTTGCAAGAGCTCAGAGCCCTTGCCTCCGAAAGGTGCTCCTCAGTAAGGTGGGCCTATGCCCTCTCTGGTGCTCTACCATATTACTTTTTCTGTCTGACTTCACCGCAAATGTGTAGAGCTTATCTGTTGGCCCTTCTTAATGTTCTCCCCTCTGCTATTCTTGAGGGGAGATATAAGCAAATTCCTTATTCAGTCAGGTTCTGTGGATGTAATAGAAGAGAAATAGAAACTGTTGAGCATGTACTCTTACACTGTAAATTGTTAAATGACATTCGAGTGGAATTTATAGAAGCCCCCCTTAGGTTGGTAGCAGGCCAATCGGATAGAATCAAGGTACAATTTCTCCTTGCTTCACAAGATCCGGAGATCATTGAACTGACCGCTAAGTTTCTCCATGGTTTTATAAAACGGAAGAGTGACCCTGATCATATTAATGATTCTTAATTTATAAGTCTAAAAACTTAAGTTTAAAAGTTTAGAATGCCAATTTATTTTATGATTCAGGCATCTTTTGTATGGTCAAATCTAGCTTGTGACAACTTGAGTTAGGCCTGACATAGCCACGACTATCTATTTTATAATTTCTTTTGGATTGTATTATTGGTAAATGCTTCTAATATTGTATGCCAATAAAAGGTATTTGAATTGAAATTGACCCTGATAACCTCCCCTAGCTCCCCTGACAGAAAGAGCCATCAAAACGCTACAAAGGTCCTCCTCTGCTGGTACTCACACTGAAGGGACTTCCAGGTCCTATCTGTAAGAATCAAAGCCTCATGAGAGCCACTCTATAGTATCATATAAAATATCGCACCCAATATAGAATTAGGCCCTTGACAGAAACACAAGGGGAGGCAAGAAGAGGCGGCTTTGGACCACGGCCCGGTGCCTCACAAAGATGCACAGGCCTCAATACAGTGAGGAGGCCTCTAGGTCCATCAACACAGGCCAACTGGGCCCAGCCTTCAGACACAAAGCTGTTCAGAGTAGACCCCTGTGACGACCTCTTATCTGGGGAGGTCTAGTTTTACTTTAAAAGTTCTTATGGTTTATTTTTCTTTGGGTATTCTGGCTGCCACCAGGAATTTTAATAAATTCCAATTCTTCTCTTTGCTTCTGGGGTTGGTATTGTAGCACGGGGTCTAGGCCTTTCGAGGAACTATGTGGTCTGAGGAAGGATTCTTTACTTAGCTGGTAAACTTGAAGTAAATAGGATTTATTTAAAGAAAACATAAATACGAGGGTAAACAATGTAAACAGTACTGGGAAGGAATTGAACAAATGTTTGGTGTCTCTCACAAGCTTCTCCTTTACTGACAGGGAGGTTAAAGCAACCTTGTAACACTTTTCACTGTACTCTTCTTAGACTCTCAGCTTTCAATTGTAACTCTTATAACACAGAACTTAACCGTCTGCTTAACACAGAGACTTTTACTCTTATATTTCACACAGGAAAACTTCTCACACAGAGACCTCAGGACAAAACTCATATCAATTGCTTTTACACAGCACACTCTGCTCTGACTAACTGTTTTACTCAACTGTCCTACCTAACCGACACACCAGATAGACATTCCAATCATCCACACAGCATCCATTCCAAAACCCCTCCCCCTCTCTGTCACTCACCAATCATATCACTTGCTTGAGTCCAGCATGCATCCTAGTCTGTCATACATCCATACAAACCACTTTTAAACACACACACACACACACAGTAAAACATGGAATCGTTACAAGAGCAGATTCCCAGAGAGAATAATTTACCTCAACAGAGCCGGCAAAAGCCACTTGGTCAAGGTCCGAATGGGCAGCCAATGCCTCGCCCAGCCCTTGGTCACCCGTGACAACGTTGAGGACTCCAGGAGGTAGCCCAGCCTGGGCGCAGAGCTCGGCCAGGAGCAGAGCCGTCAGACGGGTTGAGCTGGCTGGTTTGAGCACCACCGTGTTCCCTGTTTGACAAGGAGTATGTGAAAGGGGAAAAAGAGAAAGGCTTGGAAATGCCTGGAAGGAGGCCAGGCAAATATAATTCCTAGGGCTGCCATCCTCCAGATGGGGCCTGGAGTTCTCCTGGAATTACAACCGATCTCCGGACTACAGAGATCAGTTTCCCAGGAGAAAATGGCAGCCTCAGATGAGGGGCTCTGTGGCTTTATAGCCCACTAAGCTCCCTCCCCTCCCCAAACTCCACCCTTCCCAGGCTCTGCCCCCAAATCTCCAGGAATTTCCCAACCCCAAGTTGACAACCCTATTCTGTCGCCATAATGGCTTCATGCTGATTTCAGGTATTCAAGGGGCAGCATACAGCGGCCAAGTAGAACTCCATAGGCCTTCCCTTTGAATAGAAGAAACAGATGATATTTATTATTTTATATAGTACATTTTTGTCCCACCCTCCTTCCAAGGAGCTCGTTGTGGTTACGTCGATTCTCCCCTCCTTCAAATTATCCTCACAATATCAACAATCCTGTAAGGTAGGATAAGGTAAGAGAGAGAAGGTGACTGGCCCAAGGCCACCCAGCAAGCTTCATGGTAGAGTGGCAATATGACCAACAGTTTCCCAGACTCTAGTCCAGTATCCTAACCAATGTTCCCTCTAAGCTGTGGAGTGTTGTGAGCAAAAATTCTATTTTGTGAGTGACTGGCATTAAAGCTGTGCGTGAGTGAGTCGGCTGCTGCATAAATTAGTGTGCTCTGGAGCCCTCCTTCCTGAGCTAAGACAAAAATGTGTGAGCCAGAGGCTAAAAAACTGTGAGCTAGCTCACACTAACTCAGCTTAGAGGGAACATTGATCCTAACTGCTACACCACAGTGGCTGCATACAAAAACAAATGGTGGAAGGCAAACGTAGGAGGTTTCTAAATGTGTAGAGAAGTAAAAGGGCAGAGACAGGTTTTTCTCTCTTCTAACATTAGAACCAGGGTGACTCAAGAGAAATTCACCCAGTGCAACATAACTTTATGGAATTTGCTGCCACAAAAATATGCTGTGGGGGAGCTACTGGCTTTTAAAAAAAGGATTGGACAAATGATTGGAAGACAGAGCCACCAGCTGTGATAGCTAAATGGAACGCCAATGTCCAGAGGCAGTATTCCCTGAAGTATGGGAAGACAGGGACAACCAACAGAGAAGATCAGCTGCATTCATGCCCTGATTGAGGGCTTCTGGAGGGCTCCTGTGGAAAATAAGATGCTGGACTAGACAGATTTTGGGTCTGATTCAGCTTGGCTCTTCTTATATTCTTGTTTACCCCTAGGAAAGGGCATACAGAGCTTTGCATATACCTCCCAAGCCTGTTTCCCTTAAAACATAGGAGTGGATCAAGGTAGCCTTTCTGCTAGTGAGAAACTAATAGGCAGTGTGTCCCCCCTCTGACCACCCAAAAGGGCTCTGGTGGGGATCCTGGCACCAGCATAGATAAAAGCCATGTGGGATGGGGGCTGTAGAAAGGAGGAGGATTGGGCAGGACTGAGAGAAGAGAGCTGGGCTGGCAGGGCCGGCTCACTCACTAGGCGAACTAGGC